CAAAAAATTCTGGATTTTTTCTCTATAAATACCTATCAATTTCATTCACTTTCCACACCAATTTTCATATAAACTCTTCTCCTTCCGTATGTATGAAGAATTGTTGTATTGTTTCCCTTTTATTCAATAAAGAAAGCATTAAATAATATGAATATTTATTATAAATATTTGCAAATGAAAACAAAGTTTAATTAAAAACAAACGTATAAAAAAATTATGGACACGTGGCAACCAAAATTAATGGTTTAAAGTAAAAAAAAATAGGAAATAAAGTACAATGAATAGTATTTGCCCTTGCCCTAGCCTTTTGGGGTGGAACCAAAAAAGGCAAGGCTGCCACTATTCACGTGAATAGTGGCAGCCCTTGCCTTGCCTTAGCCCTTGCCTTAGCCCTTTGGGGTGGACTTGCTCTAAGGGCAACTGGTGGAATTGCTCTTACTACTTTATCCTTTCTCACAAACCTTTCATGATATTGTCACTAATGTTCCTAAGTCATCACACTGCTGCTTCATTGCCTAAGGGCTTTTCTTTCAATTTTTCTATGACCTAACTAACCGCACTAAAGAACAACTCTTTGTTATTAATGACCTCCAACATCCAAGTGTTTTAACACATGAAATTTCTAAATTTCTTTATTTATATCCAAATAAGAAAATTGATGTATGTTAATTGAGGAATTGACTTGTATCTAAATTTTGAGTTTATTTCTCTGGTTATGAGGATGAAGGTTTTTTTCTACACATACTATCAAGGTACCACATAGTTTGAACATTGAGCCCAAAGGTCTACAAATTAGAGCCATTCTATGGTGAGGGTACCATATATGGACCATAGATATGAACCTTCATATTAGCCACATGATTCATCTGAATAGTAACTTCACTTAAGTTCAATGAAATGATCATGTGACTAATATGAAAGTCCACATGAATGGTCTATATATGGCACCCTCACTATAAAATTTTGCCTACAAGTTAATACCCTTTTTCATTAGGTTAGACCTAAACGGCGGTGGCATTTGACACATTATTTTAGCTCAAGTTTGATTGGAAAAATTGGAATGGGAAAAGTTGTAAAATTAAAAATTAAAAATTAAATTTTTTTTTTTTTTAAAAAACAACTCAAAAGTAAAGTCTCAATAATTTTGATTTATTGCCTTTCTCGTCTCCGGTCTCCTCCTCTACCATTTTACGAAATCCCGAAACTGTCCCATCTCGAGCTAAAACCAGCAGCAAAGCCCTTTTCTCTAATGTTCTAAATTTTTATTAACTTGCAGGCTCAATATCTCAGTCTCTCTCTCTCAGCAGCTACACGGGTCTCTCGGATTCGTCGATCAGACGGCCTTCCCGCGTCCATGACTCTGATGACTCCTCCGCCGCTAGATGTAACTACTAAACCCGTCTCTCACTCGTCACAAATGCGATCTCAAAACGATTTCGTTTAGGTGTACGAATGTTTTCCTAGGGTTTCAATTAGCAGATCGGAGCTCTCATTTTGACCTTTTTTTTGCAGCAGCAGCAGCAACAGCAGGAGGACGATGAGATGCTGGTCCCGCACTCTGAGTTCCCCGATGGTCCTCAGCCCATGGAGGAAGGTTATTCTTTTTTCTCTCTCTCTCTATTTGTTTATTTATTTAGTTTTTGCTTAAACCCAATTTCTCTCTTTCTTCCTTCCTTTCTGTTTGTTTCCCGAGAAAATTCTGAAAATGTTAAGCAGTGAAGTTTTATGTCAAGTTTCCATCTTGCTTGGCTCTAGGCACAACAGAAGTAGTTTTTGGGCATAGTTGAGGGTTTTTTATTTGTTTTTTACTTTCCATTTTTAGTTGTGAACTTTTTGTAATGGTTATAAAGCTGCAAATGCTGATAATTATGCATTACTAGGGTGACTGAGAATTTGTGAGTCCTTTTACCGCTTGGCTGCTGAGAAAACTGAGGAATACAGAATAAGAGTAATACAAATTAGCGAATTAATTATAGAAAGTCAGAATTCACTTCCCCTAAGCCAATTAATTATATGGAATGGGCAAAGTTTTACTACTCAGATGAAAAAATGAGGATTATAATTTCAAGGAGGAGTTATCAAAAAGTTAGGTTACTATATCATTTTCTTTTATGAATTTCTTAGATGAAAAATGGGCCACTAGTGTACTGGGGTTGTGCTCCTTGGGCAGTTTTTAACCAATTTTTTTTTATTATTATAGAAAGAAACGAATAGAAAAGGCATAACTAGGACCACTTACCAGATTGGTTTATTTTGCCATAAGTTGTGTAGTTTCTTGGGTTTATAATACAAAAGTTGAGATATAACACTTAACTGGTTTTTCTCTTCTTCTGCTGTTCTTGACATTCGAACATTTCTTGGTTAACTACTTTTGGCAGCTCAAGCAGAAACTAACAATACAGTGGATGCTCAGTCAGTGGATGATCCATTGTCCGCTAGATTTACATGGACAATTGAGAGCTTTTCAAGGCTTAATACCAAGAAGCTATATTCTGATATTTTCCTTGTTGGAGGCTACAAATGGTATTTAAATCTCTTTTGAGTTGGTAATTTTGAAATAGGTACTTGATTTGTTATGACCAATCTTATTTCACATGCACTTTGCAGGCGGATACTCATTTTCCCAAAAGGGAACAATGTGGATCATCTGTCAATGTATCTAGATGTTGCAGATTCGGGAACTTTGCCTTATGGGTGGAGTAGATATGCCCAGTTTAGCTTGTCTATTGTCAATCAAATTCATAGTAAATATTCAATTAGAAAAGGTACTTTCTCTGCCACTGATGTTCCTATTAGAAATAAATTATAATGTTTTAATAGTTTTATAAAATTGGACTGCAATGCGTCTTTTCCTTTTGACAACTTCGTATCAAGTCCTAATGGTTGAAGTGCAATGAATAAGGGGATAAAACTTTGGTGCATATGATGTGGTAGCTATATCCATTTTTGCTGTATTTGCTGAACAGTCTGTGGGAGTTATAAACTCTTCAGATGTGCCTCAGTAAATTGTTATGGCATTTCACATATATGTGTAAATTGTGTAAATAGCCAGATTCGTTAGTCTCACATCATGAGTTTATTCAAGAATACATGTGCATTACATGTAGCTTCAGATTCTCACCAAGTGAACAAAAGGGGCGTGAAAAGAAAGAAAAAATTTAAGACATGCACCTGTTTTGACATGTTCAGCCACACTACTTTCTTTTTTTTGAAGAACTTAGAATGAATAAACTTTCTTTCCAAAGATGAGGCATGGGGAGCTGACCAGAGTCATCATTCTATCATTGAGATGTTGAATAAAATAGCAATTAATGTAGTGTTTGGATCAAACCTGGATCCTTGCCTACCTGTTCTTCCATGACTCTAGTTAGGAAATTAAGGGCAGTTACCTATATATATAAGGTGCAAAACGTAAAGTTATGCTCAGTAAACATGTGAAGAGTAGTTTTCTTGCCTTTTCTGACCAGATATGAGGATGAAATATGCCAAAAAAAGAAAAAAGAATCGGAAATGCTAATAGATGATGTTCTAACATTTCTTTTACTCCTGGTTGGAGCCAATGCCTCACTGAGATGATAGTGTTGTTTCTATTTTCTAGTAAATATAATGGCTTTTTTTAGGAATGAGGACTGGATCCCTAATGTCTCGTAAATATGAAACATACATGTTTTGGAGAAAAACAGAAAGGAAATTGATAATGTTCGAGTTGTTTAATATGGCAGAATGGGACCAAGATGTGTTGTTATGATGTTGCTTTGATTTGTTTCGTTCAAGATGTGTGTTTGTGTATATGATCTTTGTTAAGATTATGCATACATTTTATGTTGTGCTTGCTATGATATTCGACCTTACTCTTTATTGATTAAATGCCTTTTTGACACTTGTATTGCCACATCTGCATCCAATCTTGTATAAGTCCTAGCTAGACAAGGACCAAGAACTTTACGAAGAAGAAAATGACTTGCATTTTTTTGTCATGGAAGTTTCTATAATCTGACCCTCTTTTAACTATTTCATTACGTAGAATATTAGATGATTACAGCATCATAGCTGTTCTCCCAGTGTTACAGGTTTGTTAAGTGATATAAAAAATATCCTTAATTTTCTTGTAACAAGATGGAATATTTCATATTGTTGAATGAGAATCAGTTTTTCATCATGTGGGCCTTAGCCACTGCTTTGTCGTTACCTTTCTGATTGCGTGCGTATAAAAATTTCATATGTAGTTATTTGAATTTACTTCTTTGTGTTGCGTTTTTGCAGAAACACAGCACCAGTTTAATGCACGGGAGAGCGACTGGGGTTTCACTTCGTTCATGCCTCTTGGTGAATTATACGACCCTAGTAGAGGTTATATTGTGAATGATACATGCATAGTTGAAGCTGATGTTGCTGTTCGTAGAGTTATTGATTACTGGTCACATGACTCTAAAAAGGAAACTGGTTATGTTGGACTGAAAAACCAAGGAGCTACTTGTTATATGAACTCTCTCCTTCAGACTTTGTACCATATTCCTTATTTTAGAAAGGTTAGCATAATTTCTGTACATAATTTTTCCCAATAACCTTGTGTACAAGGAAGCCCCACATCTCAAATTGTAATTTTAGGCTGTGTATCATATGCCAACAACGGAGAATGATAATCCATCTGGAAGCATCCCTCTGGCCTTGCAAAGCTTATTCTACAAACTTCAGTACAATGATACTAGTGTAGCGACCAAAGAGCTGACAAAGTCATTCGGATGGGATGCATATGATTCATTTATGCAGCATGACGTCCAAGAACTTAATAGGGTTCTTTCTGAAAAGCTTGAAGACAAAATGAAAGTATGGAGTTCTTACTATATCAGACTTCATGCTTTGCACTTTATTTGTCAATTTTGGAGGTTATTGATTGAACTTTGTTTATTGGAACAGGGAACTGTTGTGGAGGGTACAATACAGCAGTTATTTGAAGGGCACCAGATGAACTATATTGAATGCATCAATGTGGACTATAAATCGACGAGAAAAGAATCATTTTATGGTAAGTGATTGAGGTTGATGTAGATTACTATGCAATCGAACAAAAATACTGTAGGTCTTCTTATGGAAGATTCCATATGTTTATTTGTAGATCTTCAACTGGATGTCAAGGGCTGTCGGGATATTTATGCTTCATTCGATAAGTATGTGGAAGTGGAACGCCTTGAGGGTGATAATAAGTATCATGCTGAACAATATGGTTTACAGGTAAATGACATTGAAATTTTCCTGTTGGTTTATCTGTTTCCTTGGGAATGTTGACCAACATTAGTGACTTTACCGGGATCATCATCACCATCTTCTTCAACCCATTTTTTTTTTTGGGTGGCGGGGCTGTTTATTGTAACTGTAATTGTTATTTGTCCCACCTAAATTCATTGGAATATCAGTGTTTGTTATTGTCTGAAGGCTTGAAGTTGGTTTCTAATAATATTTTGTATTTTTCTTTTATTACCTTTTTAGGATGCTAAGAAGGGTGTCCTATTCATTGATTTTCCACCTGTCCTTCAACTTCAGCTAAAACGTTTTGAGTATGATTTTATGCGGGACACCATGGTAAAGGTGAGTAGTTGATAGATTAATCTGTCTTCACGAAAACCTTTCATACATATTGTGTAACTATGAGTTGGAGAATGCGTGCACGAATAAGGAAGCGCATGTGCACACACACACACACACACACACATATATATATATAATATATCAGGGTTTCGTATTACACTAGGGTATCTTTGATATTTTATTATAATCGGATATATAAATTTAGGGTTTCTTACTACACTACAGTTTCTTTGGTATTTTATTATAATGAGATTGCTTTGGTAAATAGGTCTTTTTTCCCGGACATTAGCATATTGATTTGATAATATAGAGTTGAGTTGTACTTATTGATACGAAGAATTATGAATGAAGTTATAAATTTTTGTATTGGATTTTTTGAGTTTACTATCTTTTCCCTTTTACTTTGGGCAGTTGTGTATTCCAACTACCATCAATGCGCATAGCCTTCAAGATCTTGGAATTAAGCCAACTTGATTTCCCTTTATTATAAATACATTGTATATTTTTTCCTATATTGGGGGAAGTGCTATATCAAATATTTTATTCTTGTGGGCATGCTCAGTCTTTGGAAGTAAACTACTCTTCAAGTCATTCAGTAGGAACCGTAGAGGGCTGTTTCAGCACAAATGAGTTGCAAGGCTCTTGATTTTTTGCTGTTTGTTTGAGGGATCCCAATTTACAATAATGAGTATTTCACCAACTCTAGTTTACCTTGGCAGTAAAAAGCCTTTGCCAACCCTTAGCATGCTGTAGCCACTGCTAGAAAATCTTGCGAATTATACATATTTTCATGGACATATTAATCAAAAACATTCATAGGTTGGTTGAGGGAACTGTTTAGTTTGAAGAAAGCTATCTTGTTTCTTATAATTGCATATTGCAACTTCCCATTTGTTAGGTCTATTTTAGCTCTTGTAAATAGAAGATTTGTTTAAATAATTAGAACTTTATGCCCTTAATCAAGTTACTTAATGTTTTCAGAAAATCATGTAACCATTGAGCATTTGAAATCATTCTGTAAAGCAATATCAATTTTCTTTCATTTGTCACCTGTTGTGAAGATTTTGAAGTCAACTTTAAGATATTTTTTTTCTTTTAAAATTTGATTTTCTTTGCCCATATGAATTAAGACCAACACATTTGATATGTCTCTTATAACGTAATTTCTTAGCTGGTATTTTTTTTGTTTCTCATACTTGTATCATTTGTGTTACACTTAATTACTTGGAATAATCTGGTCTGCTGATTGCCAACAGATAAATGATCGCTATGAGTTCCCCTTGCAACTTGATCTTGATAGGGAGAACGGGAAATATCTATCCCCGGATGCTGACAGGAGCGTTCGCAACCTTTACACTCTTCATAGGTATTAGTAATTTAACTTTGTTGGTATTTAAGACTGTTATACCTTCTTTTGGTGGAATGTTTTGTTTATATGGTATGTATGTCTAGTTCCCTAGATAGACTGATATAGATGATTGCATCATTTCCATGTCTACTTTTGGAGAAAGTGACTGGATGTACTGCAATCCAATTCTGTGTTAGTTATGCATAAACTAACAAATCTTTTTATTTTTTATTCTTTTATTCCATTTGCATTGCTGTTTTTCTTTTATTTTTTATGAGAAACAAAATTTTGTAAAACATAAATGGGGGTACAAACATAATTTATGGATAATTAGTATCGCAGTGTAACAGGGCTGTATCAATATCTGGACTATCCATGCTTCAAGGTTTGTGGTTTTACCATGACACCTGCTCCTTGTCTAACCATACTGCAATATAGAATGTTCATTGTTAATGTTTTCTGCGTCAAAATTAGATGTCAGTTATACTATGGCCATTTTTAGTGATTGCTACTGCAACAAGTTCGTATATGCATGGCCATTGTATCCTGGCTGTGTATGGAGGTTACTAATGCTTGTTCTTATTTGTTTGCAGTGTTTTGGTGCACAGTGGTGGGGTGCATGGTGGGCACTACTATGCTTATATCAGGCCAACCCTTTCTGATCAGTGGTGTGCACATTCTTTCTTTCTGCAGTCAATATATTTAAATTGTTTGCATCAAGAACTTGTCACATATCTGGTTAATATTTTTTTTTGAAAAGAAACAGTATTATTCAAAAGGGACTAAAACACAATAGTACACGAGATGGCCAAGGGGGCCACCTCACAAACAGAAAGAAAATCTGGTTAATTATTTTCATTGGGGGGTTTTTTTTTTTTTTTCCTTTTAAAGGCTTGTAAACAAAATAATGTAAGTTTGTACCTTAATAGTGCACTCTAAGAACTACTTCCCAGATTAACGTGATATCTACAACATCAACAAAACTGAGTTTTTCCGAAGGATAGTACTATAAATTTTTAATTTTTAATTCTTTTTTCAGATGCATTTTTTTAAATGTAGGCCCTTGTTCAATTTACTTGGAGACAAAATGTTAAAGTTCATTGGATCAAATAGTGGGATAATGAACAAAGTTGTTTCACAAGTAGAAAGGTGAACAAGTTGATGAATAAGTTGAAGGACGAGGAAGGCAATTTAATTGAGACAGAGAGAGAGAGAGAGAGTTGAATTTCCAGGTGGATGGATTGGAATGGTCCCATAATAGTGATGAGGGAGCTAGCTGTTTGGATTTGAAAGGTTGAAATTAAGAGGGCAACACTCAATTGTGGTAAATGACAGACCCAATGCCCTTATCTCCTTGGTGGACCTGTATCTAATAGATAAAGACGAACCAATTGAATGAGGGATGAGTGAGATAAGGATAAACAGGGAGAGCTTACCGAGTAATGTTTGAGTTTTGCTGCTCTAGATTAATGTAGCATTTTTCTATTTCATTAATTTGAATATGCTAGAGTGCCATATTGTGATGGCTAGTGGCAAGCAAGAGTCTCTTGATCCCTACAGGTCTGCTGCAATGAAGATAGAGTGTAGTGGGGTTGTAGACCAATGAAAATTGTGTTTGGATACAATTGGTTAATGTTGTGCTTGAATGAATTTATGCTTGTTGGACTTCTGGGGAGTCAAAATTACTGCGAAAGAAAGCAATAACTTTGCACCAAAGTGGCACTGACTAGGCTGAGCAACAATAATCTTTAATGTTGACCCACAAGAATATAAAAAAGAATAGTATGTGAGACAGTTTTGGTAGTACACTAATTTAGGAATGGAGGTGCTTATATTTTTTTTTCCTTTCCAAAAATCCATTGTTATCTAGTAGCTGGGAGTGTGTTATGGAATTTGGCTACTGGAAGGGTTGATGTGATATAAAGAAAGTGCTTAACTAGTTTGATTTTACCATTGAGAATCACAAATGAATTATTGCATACCATGCCTTGTCTATTCAATTATGAAGATTTAACGTCCCTTGCAATTTGTTGCTTTCAGGTTTAAATTTGATGATGAACGAGTAACAAAAGAAGATATGAAGAGGGCTCTAGAGGAGCAGTACGGTGGTGAAGAAGAGGTACAATTTTCGGTTATTTATCACGTTTTATTTGTACTTTCTTTGCCTCTACTGATGTTCTCTATGTTTCACTGTTTGCATTTGACAGTTACCACAGACAAATCCTGGGTTCAACAATGCTCCATTTAAATTTACAAAATATTCAAATGCCTACATGCTTGTTTATATACGTGAAATTGACAAGGAGAAGATAATTTGTAATGTGGATGAGAAAGACATTGCGGAACATCTGAGGGTAAGAGGGATTGACAATATTTCTGTCGACTTAGAATTTTATTTATTTTATTTTTACTTTGTCTTGCTGGTAAATCATGCTGTGCTTATGTGTCCTTTGAACACCATATTCCAGATAAGGCTGAAAAAAGAACAGGAAGAAAAGGAACAAAAGAGAAAGGAAAAAGCTGAAGCGCACCTTTATACTATCATAAAGGTTAAAAATTTTACAACCCCTTGTCGATTCTTTTCTGTCCCCTGGTTCTTTTTGTTTGAGATATGTAAACTTTGATTTCTGTAACGTTATTTAATTCAGATTTTCTTATATGGGTTTCTAGGTTGCACGAAACGAGGACCTGCTTGAACAGATAGGAAAGAATATCTATTTTGATCTTGTGGATCATGACAAAGTTCATAGTTTCCGTATTCAGAAGCAGATGCCCTTCAACCTCTTTAAGGTACTGCGTTTACCCACTTGAACTTTATTGCATTGAAAATGTTGAAAATCTTCAGGTGTAGGTATACACCGTTTACTCCATACTGTCTTACTAGTTTCTGTACTGAAAGTTGTCAATATGGATATACATGTCTTGACTTATCTTAACTAATTTTATATAAGTTGGCTTTGGCATCATATTCTTCTTGGGGTAAGAATATAATAGATTTTTTAATAGAAGACAAATTATTATTTTTTGCCGTTTCGTCTAAATTCTTTGTCTCATAATCCATGCATCTAGAGCTAATTTCATCAATTAGATCATCACAAATTTATTAAGTTCAGCAATCAAAATCGTAAAATTTCTCATCAAGTTGAGAGGCTTTTTGATTCCAGTGCAAGCTAGAGATTGTAGTTGGTGAGATACCTTGAATACTCGTTATCGTAAATCCAGAATGTGAAAATACTTAATAGGATGCACAATGTGATGAACAGTATTAAAGAGGAACAGCAAGACCTTAGCATATAAAGAAGTGGGGTTTCAGTTCCAGTATATGATAATCATAATAATTATGGGATATTCCCAGTTGAGCTTAATTAAATGAAATTGGAGCTATAGCCTATACGTAAAATTGTAGTTGTTGGATCCAAATGATCAGTATCATTCTAATTGAAGTCCACCCTCAGGAAGAGGTTGCCAAAGAGTTTGGTATACCAGTTCAATTTCAACGTTTCTGGCTGTGGGCAAAGCGTCAAAACCATACATACCGGCCAAATCGACCACTGACACCTCTTGAGGAAGCACAATCTGTAAGTCCTTTAGCTTGTTACCTGTTATGTCACTGATTCTGTTATATTTTCTACGAGTTCGTTGTTCTTATGCTATGTGTAAATGTAATCAAGCATAATTCCATTCATGGTTCACGAGTAATAAAAAAAACTGGTGTGATCTTGTCCAAAGACGAAGACCGTACATATATTTGTCTCCACACTGATGTGTTCTATGCAAAATGAGTGAGGAAAGCGTGGATTACCTTTTTTTACAGTGCCCCTTTTCGTTAAGTCTTTGGCGGACCTTGTTGAGGGAGGTTAAGACTGTTTGGGTTATTCCAAAAGGTTGCTATGATCTTCTCTGTTCCCATTTTGTCATTTGGGACAGGGGGAAGCGTGCTTCAACCTTATGGGGTTGTTTGGTACAGTCTGTATTTTGGAACGTTTGGATGGAGCGTAACAGGAGGATTTTTTATGAGTATGAGGGAGTGGGTGTTGGTGAATTATGGGATGGAGTTAAATTCTGGGCAGCTCTATGGGCTTCTGTCACTTCAGATTTCAATGTCACTTCAGATTTCAAAGATTATTCTTACTCCACTATATTAAGGGATATGGCTGCTGTGTGATGTGAAGTGTTTGTTTTGCAACTTGGTTTCTTTGGGTCTTTCTGGTGTAGCAGTCTTTGTGTGGTTTGGCTGCTGTCTTTGTCTTTTTAGTCTGTTTTTCTGTTGTTGCTCGTTTGTCTTGTGGATTTCTTATCCGCTTGTGTGTTCCTCTTCTTTTTTTCCAATAAATTTTGTTTCTATTTAAAAAAAAAAGCGAGTAATAAAAAAAATTTGGTGGTTGTAAATTCATTTAGTCAAATTACAGTTGAAATCTTGATTACTATCAGTGGAGGTTCTGATTCCAAGCAGTTTTCTATTTCAGTATACAAAAGGGCATTTTGGAAATTAGTGAAAGTAACAAGGTTAATGTTGTCCATGTAAAAATTCATTAAACATGAATACTGCTATCAACAAAAAAGCTATTTTAAAGGCTTTCCAGAGAAAATATAGATTGAAGCTTCTCCCCTATTGACAGGCACCCACTAAAGTTTGTAATTCAGTGGTATATTCTAGTTAGCATTTTCCTGTATAATGCTCGTATTATACATGTACATATGTATTTTTTAAAAATACTTCTGTTTTCCGTACATGTATGAAAGATTTGTTAAAATACACATTTTAAAAATCAAACGTACCATACATGTACGTACGTATTCTTCATGTTTAAGACACATGTTTTTTACAAAATTTTCAATAATACAGATAAATTTCACGTATTATACATGTATTTTTCACATATTATTGAATAAAAATAATATATATTACAGGTTTTAAATAAATTATATTCATATATTGTATAGTGGCCGAACTTTTCATTTTTCTTTTTCAAACATTTTGCCGAATTAATCACGTATGTATTTTATTCGTACTATTCCCGTTCCGTATTTTACAAACTCTTTCTCTTCTCTGTATGGTATTTGTAGGTTGGACAGTTGAGGGAAGTTTCCAATAAGTCAAATAATGCAGAGCTAAAGTTGTTTCTTGAAATAGAACTTGGGCCGGTAATGTTACCCTCTAAAGCTCTTTAATTTTTTCCCATCAGAATTATTGTGTTATTCCTTGACAAACCATAATCATCTTATTTCAATGTCGGTATTCACTGGTTGTTCTATTGCTGATATGCAGGATTTGCTGCCTCTTTCTCCTCCGGAAAAGACCAAAGAAGAGATTCTTCTATTTTTCAAACTCTATGATCCTGTGAAAGAAGAGCTCCGGTATGTTTGCTTCTTTCTTCCATCAAAGTTAGAGCTACAATTGATTACTTAGGTATTTCTCTTTGAAATCAGGTACGTTGGGAGGCTGTTTGTGAAGGGTAGTGGTAAGCCTGTTGAATTATTCGCAAAACTAAATGAAATGGCTGGTTTCAGTCCTGATGAAAAGATAGAACTTTTTGAGGTAAGTCCTCTGCCATTTGTGTTATAGTATTATAGCTCTGTCACCTGCTTAACCCATTTGTGTTATAGTATTATAGCGATTTGTGTTGTAGTATTTTAACTTGACATGCATGCACGCAAACGCTTACTTATGTTTTCAGGAAATAAAGTTTGAACCTAATATCATGTGTGAACACATTGATGAGAAGGCAACCTTTCGTGTTAGTCAGGTATGATTTTCGAAGTCTAATGTTTTCATTTGTAAATTGGTGCGAACTATATGGAGTTATCCTTTTTCTTTTATCTTTGCTCTTTTTTTTATCTCCCTTTTTTCTTTAAATGGGTGCGGGGACTGGATTAGGTATAATATTATACACGTCTTCAATAAGTACTCATACTATGATTTTAAACTTTGAAATTCCCTATGTTCTTATTCCTTTGTGTAACTGTTTTTTTTTTTTTTTTTTTTTTTTTCCAGCTTGAAGATGGGGACATCATTTGCTATCAGAAATCTCCTCAGGCTGGAAGCAGTGAACAATTCCGTTATCCAGATGTTCCTTCATTCCTGGATTATGTTCGTAACCGTCAGGTATATTTTCTTCTTTTTATTTTTAAAGCTCAGAATCTCCCAGAATGTTAATTCAATGTCGGAGTCTCCATGTTTTAGTTTACCTGTCCTACGGGTTAATCTTCTATAAGTCTCTGATTCAGAATATAAAAAGCCAGCTAATAAGGAAAACTAGGGAATTCGCAGATCACTGATGACAAGCAATTAAAGTTGGGATAACTTAGTATTTCTCTAAATGAATATTTAGTTTGCATGATTAGGGAAACTATTATTCATGTTACTGGGAATGAGTGGCAAAGAGATGGGGGATGTTGGGATTCCCTACTTAAGTGGTGGATGATATTTTAACACAATAAATGGAAGCATGGATTAATGAATCACATGTTGCATGTGTTTTAAAGGGGAATGAACCAACATCACGGGATGTACCTAGAAATGTGAAAATGCATTCATTGGCCTTGGGTACAATCTTGTCCCCTCTCTTCTAAACAGCATAAACCCCCTAACCCTTCATTTCTCATCATTCACTAGTTTACACATAAGTGCAAGGGACACAGCGTGGGAGCTAGTGAATGGGAAGTAAATCCTCTTGTATGCAAAAAAGGGTTCAGAACTTCAGAATAACCACTTTCTTGTAATTTTTGTTTTGTAATCCTTTAGTGCTATCTAGAGATGGACTTCTGGTAGTTCCATTAGGTGTATGGTGGAAGATTTTTCTCCTGCGGCTCAAACACCAAATCTCATAAATAATAGTCTCTTGCTTATTTGTTTACTTGTTGCTTCATATCGTCTGCTTATTTTAATCCCACAAATGTGGAAAGGGTTTGATGTGGGGACAAGTAATTATTTTATGGGCTTTTATTAGGCATCAACTTTCCAACAGGGTGGTTGTGGGTCATGAGGGTAGGGGTGGGGTGTTGCAATGTTGGGTGCTCTCTATTGTTTTATTATTTTTGTATTGTGATTTTTTCAATTCCATGACAATTTACAGGTTGTCCGTTTTCGTTCTTTGGACAAACCGAAGGAAGATGAATTCTGTCTTGAGTTGTAAGTTTGTCATATCATGTATTATATTCTTCTGGAAGGAGTGAATCAGTTAAAATGCTTTATTATTGATATTCTTTTCCTGTATCTTATAGGTCAAAGTTCCACACCTATGATGATGTTGTGGAAAGAGTTGCTCAACATCTTGGCTTGGATGATCCAACTAAAATTAGGCTCACATCTCATAATTGTTATTCACAGCAACCTAAACCCCAACCAATCAAGTTTCGAGGAGTAGAACATTTGTCTGACATGCTGGTACACTACAATCAGGTTGTTTATTACAAGATTCTTAACTCTGTTTGAGAAGTGTTTTCTCCCTCTTAACCATGTTCTGACTGTGGAAAAACATTCATTTTTTCTCTTTTAGACTACGGATGTACTTTATTATGAAGTATTGGATATCCCTCTCCCAGAGCTGCAAGGCCTCAAAACTCTGAAAGTTGCTTTTCATCATGCTACCAAGGATGAAGTGAGTACAGATAACGATCAAACCATAAATTATTTTAGTATGTCAACAATTTTGTCTCTTACTTGGAAATGTTTTTATGTTGACAGGTTGTGGTTCATACTATTAGATTACCAAAACAGAGTAGTGTAGGAGATGTGATTGATGACCTTAAGACAAAGGTAATTCTTTGCAGATTCTGAATTTATATATCTGTTGTACAGTTTGTATAATATTCTCATGGAAGTATTTCAGAGAACTTTACATAGATGAATTATGAAAAGACTTATATTTCCCTTCATCTGAACAGGTGGAGTTGTCTCACCCTGATGCTGAACTCAGATTGCTAGAAGTTTTCTATCATAAGATCTACAAGGTATTGGATAACGTACATGTAAATGCTTTCTATGAAGAGAATTATGCGTTACATTCCTTAAATATCCTAAAGAATAAATTTGTGTTATCTGTCAAGAGGAACCCGCCATCCAAAATCTCTACGTTCTTAATATGTTGAAATTCTTATTATTATTTTATTTTCAAATTCCTGGCAAGTCTGTGTTACAGTTGAGTATTGATATATATTTAGTGTATTTTATAAGAGATAATTGTATTAAATTCTCAACAAATTAAACTGAAAAAGCCTAAATATTACAATTCCACCCAATGAAAAAACAGAATACATACAACTTAAGTGTTCACTGTTCTTGATAATTTATTAATCATTTAATTGTTAAATTGTTAAATTTGTAGCTGAACTATTCATATTTGTAATATTGCAATTTCAGTAAGAATTCAGTATCAGGGTATGGTTTGTGATAATGTTTGTTGGTTTGCATTGTTTTAGAAGCTCAAATCATTAGGACATGGACCAAAAATTAGTTATATCCTGACACTTCTGCCCCTATGTTGGCCTCATAAAACTACTAGAGCCCAAAACGTGGAATTCAACATAATATTACGACGTTGGGATATGAATTTGGGATCTCCTACCCTGATACTATGTTAAAGTTAGTCAGTTTCACATCTTTCCCAAAATCTTCTGCTATGACGCAAGTCACAATTATTTTATATTCTAAGCGATTTATTATTAAGAATTTTGAAATCTTATTTTGATAATCCCTATGGTAAAGGCTTGGTGAGAGGTTGAAGTATCAGAATGAATGTTCATATAACTGCTCATATAGTTTTGACTCTTGTAAGGGGCTGCATGTCATTGTTTGATTACAGGCTTGTTATAAGGTTTTAATTTTGGTCTGAAAGGCTTGTTATAATGTTTAATCATATGTCGTTCATGTTTTCTAGAATGTCAAGTGCTTAAGGCATCATCATGTGTTTTACTACTAAGGAGCTGCCTTTTTGTTTTTTAATATTCTTGTTTAGAGATAGAGTTTGAGAAAGAAAAAAAATGTGGTGTCTCCTTTGGGGAACCATAATATTTGCGTGTGCTATGATGCTTTCCTTTTGTTTTATTCTTTCTGTTTTCTTCAGAAGGAAATTAGTAGACTTCCTGTTTGTGTAATATGGAAAACATGCAATTGTGCTATCTCTACCTGTGTTAGGCAGAAACAGGACTTGCTCATTGCTTCTTGCATATTGTGATCGGGGGCCTTGCTGCGGCTGCAGGCCTCTATTTTTGTTTCTTCTATCTGCAACCTTTTAGAATTTTCATTCATTTCTTTCATTCATTAATTGTTTCCATGCAGATTTTCCCACCAAATGAAAAGATTGAGAACATAAATGATCAGTACTGGACATTACGTGCAGAAGAGGTTAGTCTGCACAGGATTGGGGTCATAGTTAATCTATGTTTAGTCTTTTCTTTTTAAGAAAAAAGGAAATCTCTCTTTTACACCTTTTCTGCAAAATCTTTATTGTCTGTTGCTCAGATCCCTGAAGAAGAGAAAAACTTTGGGCCTCATGATCGCCTGATCCATGTTTATCATTTTATGAAGGACACAGCTCAAAATCAGGTAGGATATTTCTTGTTTTTCTTTTTCTTTCATCTTTCTTTCACTTTCTGTTACTTTCTCACATCTTTTTTGCTACAACACTAACACATGCACAGATACGTGAATACATGTGTATATAGTCAACAAGTTCTTTTAGTATTTATTGTTATTATTATTTATTAACATCCTTTTTTTAAAAAAAATTATCATCATCGTGGTAATCATCTTAACTTTTATTGTGAATTTGCAGGTTCAGAATTTTGGAGAACCATTTTTCTTGGTCATTCGTGAGGATGAGACATTAGCGGAAGTGAAAGTGCGTGTACAGAAAAAGTTACAAGTCCCAGATGAGGAGTATTCAAAGGTATTCTCTTTATTGCAGAGGACATTATACCGACGCTGATGCAATTTCAGACCAGTGGCCATTCGTGAAATACCATAAGATTTGTTTACTGTGAAGTGTAATATATCGTTTTCTTTTTGTTTGGCTCAGTGGAAATTTGCGTTTTTGTCCATGGGTCGTCCTGAGTACCTCCAGGATGATGACATTGTGGCCAGCCGATTTCAGGTCTCTCTCTCTCTCTCTCTCTCTCTCTCTCTCTCATTTATATGGAATGCTCAGTTCTTTTCTGCAATTTCATTTTCAGAGAAGGGATGTGTATGGAGCATGGGAACAGTACCTTGGTTTGGAACACACTGATCATGCTCCTAAAAGGTCACATACAACAAATCAGGTATTTCTTTGCGAACTTCCTTCACTATATTAGCTTACCAAATTATACTGTTGAGAATCCAGGAGGTAAGCTATTAGGAAAATGAGGTAAATCCAAGATTGCTTGAATTTTGGATTTCTTATTCATTATACCAGTAGACAAGTCCAAGTTATTAGGCAAAGTAGGCCAATGATGATGATGATGATGATTTATAGACAAGTCTGAGTCAGAAGCTTTAGATGGTTATTCATTACACCAGTAGTTTTATTAGGATTTGAACCTATGGATAGATTTTGTTTGTTGAGTTGAGGGAGGAGGAGCAAGTTAAAGGGTGGTTGGAATGGTGGGTTTGGGTTGCTTAGGTTTAATGAATTTGCATTATGCTTGAATGTCAGAAATCTATAAGTGGTCTTATTATTGTCAGTGATAATCTTATGGTTGCTTCCTTCATTCCATTGCTATGTTCTTTATGCTGAAAAATAATGAGCTAATTCTTTGACGGTAGATGTCCTTCAATGTGGTACTTTATCTGTTGAAGTTTAAGACCTTTCATCATGTTTAATATTTTCAAAGTTTTTGTAGGAGTTAAATTGAGTTATTGTCGGGAAGACTAAGTTCCTCTCCTTTCCATGTTTAAGACATATGACCATTGTGTGAGGTGTCCCTACATGTAATGTAGAACTACCAACCTTTATTTTTTACACCGTTGTTACGGCTGTGGTGACTACTACAACCACTGTGGCACCTGATCACTGCCACCTTCACAATGCCCAATTGGTCTGATACACAGCCTCTGGCAATCATGTATCCACTTGGTTTTTTGCTAACTAGCCAAATAGAAAAATTATAGTGACAGTAGTGGCAATTTTAAAATCACAGTTGCAAATTGCTATTGTGCAATAGAAATTTATTATAAGTATTTGTCAATCCTCTGCTTACTCAGTTTAAACTATGCAGAATCGTCACACATTTGAGAAGCCAGTGAAAATCTACAACTGAAACTACTGCAATGACTTTGTCAGCTCATTTCACAGATTCAACCTCCTATACATATGCAGAATCTTGTGATGAGCCCGAGATGCACAAAGGAAGCTTTGTTACAGTTTGCCATAGTTATACCTTACTGGGCATAAAATTCTTTAGTAGAGTGACAGGGCAATTTTTAGCCTAAACTTTTGTATCCTCGATGGTTCGGACACTTCTCCCTTTCAGGCACCTGTCGTTGAGGTGTGAGGTAGGAGGCATCTCATTTTGAATCCATGTAATTCCGTATATAAGATTTTGGGGTGAGCAATGTATAGAGGGTATAGGTGCAGGTTTAAATGCAGTTTCTTGTCCAGTTATATTGTGTTGATCTTTTTGAATCGTTGATGGAAAAAGCTCTGTATAATATTGGATCGTTGGCTTCCTTTCTGTATGTTTTGTAGTGCAATGGTAGGCTGCTGTTGCTGTGACCTGTGGAGGTTGAAATGACTTTAATATTTTGCCAATATGAAACTAGTTAGCTGCCGTTACATTTGGCACAACCAGTTTTACAAGTTTACTCGTCCTTTGCGAGTTTTCAAGTGTTTGTGTATGGGTTTCTCTATTGGGTTTGTGGGCTTTGTTTGGGCTTATGGCTAATTGTGGTGATGTTGGCTACTAGTTTTATTTTTAACATGTTAGTTTGTTGCCTGCTTGAAATTATTATTTTAGACATCATGATGTCTTTAATTGTAGCGTTTAAGTTTATCTTTGATTAAAAAAAAAATTGGTCGGAATGAATTCAATTGGAAAAATTCTATATGCACCCATAAATCTTACAAGTGCACCAAATTTTGTAGAACAGCCTCGTCTACACATTAAAAATACAATTTACTTATTCATTTGTTACACCAGACCCAAGCTTTCGAGAGTTTCACAAAAAACCTTGAAGATAATGCTAGATATTTTATGAATTTAAAAACTGAAAAATGATTTTCTTAAGGAAAAAAGAACTCAATATCAGGAAATTATAATTTTGTTTTGCCTTGCATTTTGATAAGAGGAATTGTGCAAGTAAAAGTTTCGAACGAAACAATTTTTGTTCTTATACAAGTGGTATCGGGGGAGGGGGGAGTTCGAACTGAGGATCTCCGGATCCAAGAGTAAATGCTCTTTAATGATTTAGCTACAATGAGCAATTTTAATGGTTCAAACCAAACATCTTAAACATAATTCCGTTTTTCCCAAAAAGAAATTAAAAAGGAGAGGACAACACGAAAGAAAAGGAGGTAGGCACTTTGGACTAAGGCCTTTGGTGGCTTGTCTGGTAGCCGTTCAAATTTGATGCATGGCAGAAAAACTGGTGGCCTGGAAAGCAGTCTTTTCATTTGTTGATTTTGGTTGTGGTTGTCGTTTAACAAGCGTTTAGCCACCCATCTCCACTAGAACCAACAACAAACACTAGATTCAACAAGAGAGCTACAAAATTTTGTAAGCCAAAACCACCCAAGAATTAATTACTTTTTCACTCTTCTAGTCCTGGATTGAAATCAGACTTAGAATTTTATTAGACCCTTTTCATAATGTTGTTGACATTAATTTTCCCACCACCTCCTTCGATTTTCATGGCAGCAATGTCAGTGATTAGCTTCACATCATTAGCCAATGCTGGGTTCTCAGAGCTGAGAGGAAAGCACATGCAATATTCCAAGTTCTGGAATTTCAATTCTTCTCAAAAATCAGCAGAAAAAAAGCAGAAAATTCCACAACTATCTGGTAGAACAGGCATGCTGATTTTGTATGCTCCTGCGTTTCTAGCCGCTCTCTCATGCTTGCTTTTTTTTCCCCATCACAGTACCAGGCATCTGTTGCTCTCCTCTGCTCTAACTCTTCATTTTCTTAAAAGGCTTCTTGAGGTACTAATTTCATTTAATTTAATTCCCTCCCCTCATTACAATTTCTTGAGTATTTGTTTAATATTCTTGAAGTCATTTTAAATACATGCGTGCATGGGATGGGAAGTTCTAATTTTATAGTGTTCTTTATAATTTGTCTGGAATTATAAATTGGGGTCGGGGTGCATCAAACCAAATGCCTATACTTTTCTTAGGGTGTTCATATTTGAACCCAATTTCTTCACTTCTTCTTCCCCCTATTTATTTATTTATTTATTTATTTATTTATTAATGTATATGGTACAACCCAACTTTCTTTTTTTGATCAAATTAAGTTCCATTAGCAATCACAATAAACATTTCAAATATTCAATTAATCAAATTATAATTCTTCACAATATGGTTTCTACCTTGTTTTCTAGGTTCAGTTTGTGCACAGCTACAGTGGAGGTATGAGTATTGACACTGCAATCCCTATCTCTCTCAGTTACTTCCTGTCAACAGCAACCATGATTTATGGTCAAAACCTAACCCAAGGGCTTCCAGAGCCCCCAATTGATTTGAAGGAGCCTGGGATTCTCTTGTTTCTGATAGGAATTTCTGGCAACTTCTATCATCACTACATTCTTTCAAAAATGAGGTCAAAGGGTGACAAGGAGTATAAGATTCCAAAGGGTGGTTTGTTTGAACTTGTGATATGCCCCCACTATTTCTTTGAGATCATGGGATTTTTTGGGGTTTCTTGCATTTCTCAGACTCTCTATGCATTCTCCTTCGCCATGGGAACCGCACTCTACTTGACGGGAAGGAGTTGTGCCACCAGGAAATGGTATCTTTCCAAGTTTAAAGAGTTTCCCCAAACTGTCAAGGCTCTCATTCCATATGTTTTGTAGATGTCTTGGATTGGAAGTGTGTTGTTAGATGAAATTTTAGAGTTCATCTTATTGCTAAAATATGAAGGGCTTCTTAGATCTAGGTTCAAAACGATTAGCTGTCATTTGGTCCAGTCCTCGCGTTTTTGGTTTTAGATGTAGGTCCTTTGACATTTATTACTTTTTTGTTGTGTCAATTTTACCCTTTAAGGTAAATAAGGAAAACACATTGAAAATCTAAATTTAATGGATTATTTCCTTGTAATTGATTTCCAGAATTTGAATTTTGAATTTTTTTCCTTGATAATATTCCTAATATATAGATAAAATACAATTTAATCAATAAAAAAGTAAAGACTCACATATTATACCAATCGATCAGACAAGCACCCACATTAAATTATGTACCTGACATACAAGTAAATCATGTTAATACATACAAATATATATGTACCTGCCTTACAGGTAAGTGTTTTTACAAGCACCCACATTAAATTATGTACATGACATACATGTATATATGTACCTGCCTTACAGGTAAGTGTTTTTTTCTTGAGTTTTCTTAAGCAGTTTTTTCTGGAGCTTCATATTTATATATACGTACATGTCTTCCATGTAATAGTGTTTTTTTTTTCCCAAAGAAATTTTGTATGAATTTTTATCTCAGTTGAGTTTAAAGATCCATACCAAAATATTATATGAGTTCAATTAGCTAGGCTAAAGGGTATAACTACCTAGACTAGAGGTAATTTATGGATTTAATTACCTGGATCAGAGGTAATTTATGGGTTTAATTACCTGCATATTGCATACGAGGTGTATGCATAGGTACCTTACCTATTGTTAAGGTAAGAAGTTTTTATGAACTCTTATTACAAATTTTGATGTCAGTATACCTTGGGAAAATTTCAGAATTCAATAAATAGATTTGCAATTAAATTCAAATCAAATATGATAATTAATATCCTACAAATCAATAACTTACCAGTTTTACGAATTCATAATTTACCTTATTTATGTTTTAGGTGCATAACTGGAACAAAAAATTAAATATCTTGGATCAACAACAATTTATGTGTGGATTGCACCCAAAATCTCTCCTCATAATTGGACTTATGCCAAATTTTCTAAAATATGAATAAGGTTTGAATACTTTAGGTTAATTGTATTCTTCTTTATAAGGAGATATATAGGAGTTTACAAGAGTGCTTTACAAGGAAATAGATAGAGTAATTAATTAGGAGAATATCTCCTAATTATATAAGGGTGTGTCAACTATATGAAACAAGGAAGTAAATCAACTAATTAACTTAGGAAATAAATCACCTTGATTTTGTAGGTTAACTCACGTCAACACTCCTCAAGTTGGTGCATATACGTCATCAGTGCCCAATTGGTAAGTGAGTCATAAAACACTCGTCCATAGATAGCTTTTGACAAGACATCCGCTAACTGATCTTTTGATTTTACAAAGGGTAGGCAGATGATTTTGCTCTCAATTTTTTCTTTGATGAAATGTTTATTTACCTCAACATGTTTTGTTCGATTATGTTGAACTGGATTATGAGCAATATTGATCGCTGACTTGTTATCACAATGTAATTGCATGGGCCTCTCTGGTTTAAAACCCAATTCTGTTAAGAATCCTCTAATCCATAATAATTCACAAACTCCTTGAGCCATACCTCGATACTCTGCTTCTGCACTAGACCGAGCAACCACATTTTATTTTTTACCCTGCCAAATGACTAGGTTACCTCCAACAAATGTAAAGTAACCTGATGTAGAGCGTCTATCTGTAATGGAACTAGCCCAATCAGCATCTGTATATTCAAAAACTTCAAGATTTCCATTATTTGGGAACATTAAACTATTTTCCAGGAGTTGACTTTAAGTATCTTCAGATCCGATCAACTGCATTCCTATGAGAAACACTGGGTGAATGCATAAACTGACTAACCACACTCACAACATATGAAATATATGGTCTTGTGTGTGCCAAATATATCAACTTTCCAACAAGACACTGGTATTTTTTCTTATTGGTTGGCAAATGGTCCATATCTTCACACAACTTGTGATTCATCTCAATAGGTGTGTGAGCAGACTTACATTCTAGCATTACTGTTTCAGTTAGTAGATCCATCATATACTTCATGTGCGACAGAAAAATACCAGTTTTTGACATTGCTACTTCAATTTCGAGGAAGTATTTCAGAGCACCTAAATCCTTCATCTCAAATTCCTAAGACAAATATTTTGTAGCTTCTGTTGCTCTCCTGCATCGTTCCCAGTTACGACCATGTCCTCCACATAAACAATTAATGCCGTGATTTTTCCTCCATCACGCTTTAAGAATAGGTTGTGGTCTGAATTACATTGAGTGTATCCAAAATTCTTCATGGACTTAGTAAATCTTCCAAACCATGCATTGGGAGATTGTTTTAACCCATATAATGACTTTCTAAGCTTGCAAACATGATTTTTCTTATCATGAGCTAAATTACATCCTGGTGGAAAATCTATTCTTCCAAGTCTCCATGTCAGAAGGCATTTTTAACATCAAACTGATGTAGTTGCCAATCTAGATTTGCTACTAGAGACAGTTGGACTCTAATAGTGTTGATCTTGACTACTGGGGCAAAGGTCTCCTGGTAGTCCACCCCATACCTCTATATATACCCCTTCGCCACCAATCTAGCTTTATATCGTTCAATGGATCCATCTGCTTTAAGTTTCACAGTATAAATCCACCTGCATCCCATCGTCTTCTTTCCGTGAGGTAAAGGCATGAGCTCCCATGTGGCATTCTTGTAAAAAGGGGTATCTGTATCCTTTATGCTTTCTGAAATCAAATCATCATGATATATTTCATTAATGTTATCAATTTCAGGGGGAAATGTTACGTGAATGACATCCTCAGCAGGTGATTGGTACTACTATAGCTAAATACGGGTCCGTAGCGAGTAAAATCTCATAAAACAGGTCAACTTCCTCCTCCTGATTTTGACAGGGTGGAGGCGACTGGTCGTTTTGAAGCAGAGGCATAGGATTTGCAAATCTAAGTGGTGGCGACTGGTCGTTTTGAGGCATATTCACATCCTGTGTACAAAAAAGGGGAGGTGATCGGTCGTGTGAGAGAAGCGACTAGTCACTTAGACTTTGAGACACGTCCACTATGAAAAAACCTAGAAATTCCGGGGTGTTGAAATTCTCTTCATGTGCTTCTGAAAAGTATATGTCGTGTTCCTGAAACAGTACATCCATGGAGGTATATACCTTCTGACCTGGAGAGTGATAACATCGTAGCCTGTCTGATGAGGGGCATAGCCAATGAAAACACACTTTACTGTGCGGGGATCCAATTTATTTCGTTGGTGATCATGTAAGTGTACGAATACAACATAGTCGAAAATCTATGGTTCAAGGTTTGGAGTGGGAGGTATGTGCAAATGGTGAGTGTTTGAAAAGGAGTTTCGAAATTCAAGATACTTGAGGGAATCATATTGATAAGGTAAGCTGTAGAGAGTATAGCCTCGCCCCAAAAAAATCGAGGCATGTTGGCACCAAATAGAAAGGCACGAACGACTTCCAGTAAATTTCAGTTCTTTCGCTCAACCACCCTATTTTGTTGGGGAGTATATAGTCACTAGCATTGATGTATGATGCCATGATCCTGTAAGAATTTGTTAAGATCATGATTAAGAAATTCTCCACCATTGTCAAAACGGAGAACCTGGATTTGGGCATGAAACTGAGTCGCCACCATTTTATGGAATTGTTGAAACATTAAACTGAATTCCCCTTTGGTTTTGAGAAGAGAAACCCAGGTCATTCGAGTGCAGTCATCAATGAAAGTGACAAACCATCGAGCTCCAGCCGGAGTAGCAATTTGAGCAAGCCCTCAAACATCAGAATGAATAAGGGAGAAGGGAACTAAACTTTTATTTGTATTTAATGGGAACGAAAAATGATGGCTCTTAGCCAATTCACACGTATTACACTGGAAGCTGGAAACATTAAAACTAAAAAATAATGATGGAAACAACTTCTTTAGATTGCTGAACGAGGCATGCCCAAGAGGTTTATGCCATAACCAAACTTTGTCTCTCTGCCTCTCAGAATTAGCTCCACTTTTTGTTAAAGCTTGACCAACCTTGGTCTCACTATCCGGTGCGCAGTCCAAGTAGTAGAGTTTGCCCCGCCTAGTACCACAACAATCGCCTTCCCGATGAACATGTCTTGAAAAACGCACTAATTCGGCCAAAATATTACAGTACACCCCAAAGTAGTAGTAAGTTGTGCAATATACAACAAGTTATGGTCCAAGAATGGAACAACCAATACATAATCAAGTTTGATGAAGTTAGAGAGAGATAGAAAGCCCTTCCCAACCACAGGGGAGGGAGTGCCATTAGCATTAGACACCACCGACTGCGTGGATCGTTTGCAAGTAATAAGTTGGCCAGGATCAAATGTCATGTGATCCATAGCACCCATGTAATAATTCATGCATGCTTTGGAGAGGACGTATGTAAAGCAGAACCTTTAGTGGTGGATATAGAAGCACAAGCTTGTGTAGCCTGTTCAGCAAGATTAATCGCATGCTTCTATGAGTATGCAAGGAGGGAGAGAATCATAGGGGGGCCTGACATCGCAGCGGAAGGAAGATTTGATATGAGTGTATAGTTGTGGTTAAGGAGTTGATTTGAGAATTTGAGGAATTTGATTTGAGGTGTATGTGTTTAATGAGTTTGATAAGATGATTTGATTTGAGAAGGAAGGAATTTGATTTAGGATTTGGGTTTGAATTTGAGCATATGATTTGAGGGCTTAGAGACGACCTAGGATCGGCCGCTCTCATACCATACTAAAATATGAATAAGGTTCGTGTTGACACCATGTTGACCTTGTTAGAAATGTGCCCTAAGAGCCAATACATTTGATGTGATCTCCTTAGAATACATTTCATATATGATATATAAAGGGCAAACTTAATTTGTTATCTTTTACATCGTGTAAAGAAACAAATGTCCAGGGTATGCTAAATAAGAGATAAAGTAATCTAAAGAAGATTAGATTCGGGA